GGGCCGAATACTTTTCCAAGCCACTGTATATCTACTGGCATATATCAAAGTTTCTCTCCTGCTCTGATTTCCTCATGAAGGGCATTTAGTATAGTTGAATATATGTGATCCAGCACAAGCTAAACTGGACATAATTTTTGTTAACTTGAGCATTTTAGAAGCTGTTACCTTAAATAATAAAACCTCATTAAAAATTTAGGCTGTCTGTGATTTGTGCTCCAGGCCATTTTGAGTGCAGAAAATCCAGAAGAGCCATACTTGGGTGGCATCAACTACAACTGTGTAGCACCAGGGAAACGCTTCATGTCCATGGACAACCTGTCTGGTGGAGAAAAAGCCATCGCAGCCCTTGCTTTCATATTTGCCATACACAGGTAACACTGAAGACACCCCATACATGAAAAATGTGTTACATATATTAAATGTATTCTTTTCAGTGAATTATAGTTTAAGGTCAAAGAAAACCCTGTTTTTTTATTTTAATAAATGTATGTCGCTTGTTAAGCTGCAGAATAATCATGTTAAATAATAAACTACTATTGACCAAAATAATGTGATTATGGTTTTTGAGCAGCCCTAGTGATCAGTATTTGATTATGTTGACTGACACAAAGTGATGCCATATTCCTGACCCACGTTCCTAGTATACTGTGTCTGTTCTGTTTCCTTCTCTCAGCTTCCGGCCTGCTCCTTTCTTAATCTTGGATGAGGTGGATGCAGCCCTGGACAACACTAACATTGGAAAGGTAAGAGTCAAGCTGCATAAACATTCACTATTAGTATCCACCACTGGGACAACCCAGTATCCCGGCAAAACGTGTAATAGACACACCAGTCCACCGTGTCTATTTCACGCTTTGCCTTTCAAGACGTGAAATCAACACGGTGGACCAGTGTGTATATTACATGTTTAGGCGTGATTTGGAGTTGGCTGGAAACTATTAATATATTGATTATATCCATTGATCAACCTCAGGAAAAAGTGTCACCAATCTTCTCCATGATTGTGGTTGTGGGTACGGAACTTGACCCACAGATACACACTACTGGTACTCTTTGAATAGTAGCCTGTCAGACTGAAGACTAGATTTAAAGGACTATTCAGTTTGGCACAGAAGCACCTTAATGCAGAACTGTTTGACCTGCACTGTGGATGGGACATAATTATGCTAATAACTTATTCTTAGTTGTAAGAAGCAGTGACATAAGCTGGTGTTGGATTGGGGGCTTCTAATAGAAAGGGATGCACTGCAGCAGGAGAACCATGTATTATTATTCAGATTATATTATTTTTGTATATTTACCAAATACATTTTGCCTACTGCATTCTGAAAGGAAACTTTTGTGGGCGATATATCAAGTGCAAATATTCACTGTCTCCAGGTGACCAGTTTCATCAGAGAGGAGTCCAGGGAGAACATGCAGATCATCATCATCTCTCTCAAGGAGGAATTTTTCTCCAAGGCAGACGCTCTGCTGGGCGTCTATTCAGATGTAACATAGCTTTCATTAATTATGAAAATTAGTGAAGAAGTTTAAATTCCTACAATGCCAGGCAATAGAGTCATTATTCTTTTGTGTTTGGCAGTTTGATGAATGCATGTTCAGCTGCGTTCTGACCCTAGACCTGCGTCCCTATCCTCTGGCTGAAGATGACAATGGGAAACAGACTGACAAAGAGACCAGCTCCGACAAAAGGCAGGATTGAGCTTTACAGGAATCAGCTGCATGAAGCCATTATGTTTTCTTCTTGTCTAGTGGCCTGCTGCATTGTTTAATGGATGTGGTTGTTTCTTAGTGTTCTTCTATTTTGACTACACAGAGGAACTGTCCAGACTAAATGTGCAGGCAGTGGAGTTATCTTGGATATCAAATGATGATCTTTATGTTTGACTGTTTTAGAGTCGTTCTTGTTCTTTAAAGTAATTGCAATTCACTGAAGATTTTTTTTTCAGATAAATTTTGACCTCAAGTTATGTTTATGAGAAGGTTGTGTGTTTTAATTTGCTTACAAAGCAAAGTTTTTAACTGAGGTGAAAAATGAAAGAAGAAAAAACCCTTCATATAAAATGTAGCAACCACACATTACAGCCTTTGAAGGACTCTGTTTATGTGCTTGTTCTCCCATTAGGCACTTTGAAGTTATTGGTGTAAATGTTACCACTGACGTTGGAAAATGCTCTGTTCATTAAATCCACTAAGTTTAATAAGTGTGAAGTGTTGCTGTTATATTTTCAGCCTTTTTTAAAAAGTGTTTCCCATTTAAATGCAACAAATTCTGCTTTACTACCCATTACCCAGTACCATTGTGGATTGAGTTATGATATTAAAAGCATAATATCGTTGTTTTATATTATTTGCCATGTACAAATTACAGAGCCCATGAAGGTGCATAAGGTGATATTTTGTCTACTGCAGACAAATTATTTGTGCTAATAAGATGTAGTGTAGAAGATACTGTGATATCAACCTCCTGACCATCTGTCGCATTAATATGCAAATAACTTATTATGTATGCACAGGATAGATACACTCATAACATAATTTTAGTGCTAAATTGAATTTAGGATGCACACGGCTACCATATAATTGAGAACACAGCAATGTGTTTTATATTTTTGTGATTCACTGAAATTCTTGCTGATTCAACATTAAGATATAATTTACTATAGATATTAAAAAGTAGCAAAGTGTTAAAGACTCCATACTGCATAGCTTGAAAAGCAATGAGACCTGGTTATAAAAAGATCTTAATAATAGTGAGGTGGAAGTAAAAGTTGTAGCTGAGTAGCTGAGTTATTTCTGTGATGGCTGTTTGCATCTGAAAGTATTCACAGTAAACTACAAAATAAATAACTTGAAATAAAAAAATAGCACTTTGTAGGGGCTCCACTGACATTTTTTGTTGAGATACAGTCTTGTTTACGCAGAGCCTTAGACATAAATATACGTACAATAAGGCTGTATATGCGACCTGACCACCAGTAGGGGGCGGTAATATTGAGCACTTTACAGCTAAGAAGCAGACCCCGTGATCACTATTTACGGAAGTGTATCCTCGCTTCGAATTGAAGTCTGCTCATAGGCATTTTTGTTGTGCTGTCATGCAGATATTTCTTAATTATTCAGAGCTAAATCGCTACATTGAAAAACATTCGCTCGGGATTCATTTATCAAACGAGCTTCCGGTAACCCCGTTTGTAACACATCCTAGCTGGCAATTAGTAGCTAGCCTAAACCGGTGAGCCCACAGCCCTTTTACTTCCTCTGGACCTACATACTTGGTCCAGTAGTTGTTTAGGGTCCGTTTGTAGACCGTATGAACTCTGCACAAACTGTTTTTTAGCAGGAAACTCCAGTTTTTGAAAACGTTAACTGAAGCTGCTAGTTTGCTAACCTAACGTCAGCACCATGGGAGCGGAACAGAGCGGAGATGCGGAGCACAAACATTCCGATTACAGCTCATCAGGTAAGGCTGTCTGCCGTGGTGGTTTTCTCTGTTAAGGTTAGTTTTAATGAAAAGTAAACCGAGCTGAGGTTAGGATTATATGTCAAGCCACCTGCACCAACAGTCATCGGTATTACAAATCCTATTTGCATGCACCCTCCAGTAGTAGCACCACTACTAGTAGTATACATATAATAATGAAAGTCCTGCTGTCAAATTGTGTGGGTACTGAGCTTTTTAAAAGTTACACATATTCCACATGTGCTGTGCTTCAGATTTGGTTTTCATTACATTTCTGTCGTTGCAGTGGTGCCATCTCCAGCAAAACAGAAGGCAAAGATGGATGATATTGTGGTTGTGGCTCAGGGGACTCAGTCAATGCGAAATATCCACAACGACCCAGATGTCATCAAGCTTCAGGAGATACCTACATTTCAGCCGCTTTTGAAAGGTAACGTTTAAGTCTCCGGAGTGCTGTCACGGATTTTTGTTTTGCACTTTAAGAGACTGTAAAAGAGGATCTGGGTATAGGGTTTTAGTGGCGGGTGCTCATATTAAATATGGCCAGAGTTTAAAACAAGCAGTATACCACCCGGTGTGCTGCTGCATGGTGGAGTAAACACAGGGCAAGATTGACTCATGTCCCATACCCAAGTCAGTTTTGGACCGATTTCAATGAAATGAAATAAAAATACAGTACCAGATCTTTGCATTCCTATTTACAAGGACTGATGTTGTGCCAAAAAAGTGATTTCTGTGTTTCTTATATCTTGACCTATATTGGTAAATACACGGTAGTGAACAGAATGTGACCTGTTTTGCAAGTATGTGACAGAAGTGACCTGTTTTGCAAGTATGTTTATAATTACCTTATTTTACTACATTGTAGTTAATCTAGTTCTTTTTGGTGACCCAAAGTATGTTTAAAGAACTATAATGATATATTTGTTACAATTTCTCTCTCTTAAAGATATATAGATAGATATAGAGGTTGCACAGGTGGTCCAACTCCTCCACGTTGGTTCGTCAATACGTGCCTTTGCCAGAGGGTTTGCTGTGTTTCCCAGCACAGTCTCAAGAGCATGGAGGAGATTCCGGGAGACAGACTCTTACTCTAGGAGAACTGGACAGGGTTGTAGAAGGTCCATAACCAATCATTACTACCAGAGCTGCAAAATAACCTCCAGCAGGCCACTGATGTGAATGTCTCTGAAAAAACAATGCGTAACATACTTCATGATGGTAGCCTGAGGGCCCAGCATGTTCTAGCGGGCTGTGTGCTTACTGCTTGGCACCGTTGGCCATTAAATACCCGAATTGGCAGGTCCATCTCGTAGTGTACCTGCTCTCATCTGTGAAAAGATGAGAGCAGGTACACTCCGAGTGCATGTGACAGCAACCTCACTCCCATTGGGTATCGGAATAAAATCCTTGGACTCACTGTCAGACCCTACGCTGGTGCACTGGGTCCTTTAAATAATTGATGTAAATAACAGAATATGCATTTAAATGCATCCGTAGCACAATATATGACCTATGTTGTATTTTTACTAGAGATGGCACGAAACCACTTTTTTATGTCTGATACCGATATCATAAATTTGGATATCTGCCGATACCGATATGAATCCGATATAGTGTTTTTTAATCAATAAAACTGTTTTTTAATATCTTGCTGCATTTTGTATAAGTTCATACTCAAGTTTAAATAAACAACAACACTAAAGCTATTCTGTTATACCTGTATGTAAAAAATACACTGCACACAAAATATTTCATAGTTCAGCAAACTGATCAATCTAATAAACTTAAACCTGCACCATCCTCCCTATTCTGGTATTTTAAAGAGTACTTAGCAGAAATATTAAGCAACCTAACTAATAGGGTTGCAAACTCCCAGCAAAAAAAAAAATAGGGAACCACCCCCCACCCTCCACCTCATGATGCTTAATCGACGTAATCAACTTTAATTTGATGCAGTGTGAAAAAAAATGCACAGAAATAAATTATTTTTCAAGAATAATTTAATAGATTCAACATCTTTCTTGCTGCTGTTGTTCAGCAGCTGGTTTCCTCTTCCTGGCACGAAGTGGGCCAAAAACAAAGAAGAGAGACGGACTCGCAACAGAAAAGCCGATCAGCTGATCATTAATCAGTTTCATTATTGAAGTAGCATCAGGAGAGGGAGGGAGAGAGAAGAGGCAGTCGCTCCATATATCGGTTGTTAAGCTTAACGTGGGAATGCTTTACAAACATTCAGAGATGAACTTACACACTTGCTTTACTTCTCTCTGGGATAACTTCATCGGAGATGAAATGCCGGTTTGGTAGCGAGGCTACAAATACACACAGCCGCTCTATCACGTGAGCACACTGCTCCGACGTGCTACGGTTATGAGCCGAGTTACGCCGTGTGGCAAGTTTTGTGAGGAGCTTTTTTTGATATTTAATGGATCGGATTACATTTTTTATTTCTCTCTGATATCCAATCCAGTAATTTACGTCAGTATCGGACCGATACGTAATATCGGATCGGTCCATCTCTAATTTTTACATTTATCAAGTGGCAGCAAATCCAATTTGGTGCAAGGTACACATTAGCTGAAATACATAGACTGCATAGTGACCACAGTTTTTATTTAGTTATTTATTTTTTGCTTGATTGAAAAATAGAAAACTAAATAACTTCGCACTGCAACATTAGCTGTAAAGGCAGTGTAACAGTGTTTGGATTTCTGTGATCACCTGAGGTACGCCTTCATTATTCTCTTCAGATGTTTTGTCTGGCATCCTTCTTTTCAGTTTTCACATGTGCTGAGTTTTCATCTTGATTCCAATCAGTTCATTTTAAAATTCTGTGTAGTGGAGCTGAATGCCGCTGCAACCTATTAGCACTGTGTTAGAAGGCTGATAATGAACCAAAGTTCCTGTGTAGGCACACTCCTGAAATAGCAGCCTGCAAAGCTCTGTCACATCCTGTGCATTGCTAATTACTGTAATTACCAAGTGTTACACTGTTGTCAAGTGTTACCGTGTTCCTGCATGTTCAAGTAAGTCATTTTTTTGGCTTTTCTCTCCACAGGAGTGCTGAGCGGCCAGACGTCACCCAGCAGTGTGTGTCTTGAAAGGTTGGACACCGCTCAGGTTCTGCAGCTCTGCATCCGGTACCAGGACCACCTACACCAGTGTGCTGAGGCTGTGGCTTTCGACCAGAATGCTCTTGTAAAGAGGATCAAAGAGGTAAGACTGTTTTTAAGTCCTTAAATAACTATATTAACTACATGGGATGTAAACATATTTTGTACCAGTACCATAAGCACTGCTGGCTGTTGTCACAGGCTGGCTGCTCTCTCTACAAGGGCAGATTTTTACTCCAGATTCTCTTTGTGACGCAGCACCAAAGGGATTTCCGTCTCCTCCCAGGACTGAGCCGTTTATCTCTTGCTTGTTGGGTGCATGTGTAAACCACTACACTATGGAGCCACTCACAAAGACCACAAACATGTTTAAATAAACTCAAAATATCCCAATTAAATATACAATATACAGTTAGATGGAACAAGTCTGCAGGGTGTGCACTTGCTAAATGGTAGGTGTGGAGGGTGTAAAACAGAAAGCACTAAGAAAAGGTCAGGGAGAAGACCAGGTGAGGAGAATGAGGCCATTCTGCAGATTTGACCTATAGCCATATAATCTCCATTAACTCAGTTGTGGGTGGGAATAGTCTGTTTTACTTAGAAAGTTTCCTAACTGAGAGAAGTGACTCAAATGTCCACAGGGCAGCTGTATTAAGAGCTGGACAGATTCCCTAAATACTCGGGAAAGGAGCCTCTGTGCTTTCTTTATTACCTCCTTTAACTAAAGACACAGTGGAATGTTCTTAATGAATAGATAAA